ATGTATTATTACATTAAAGAGAATTCCATTAGGCTAAACCTCAGGTTAGTGGTTTATTATTAATTAACTCTTCTAGCATGCAGCAGCAGTTAAGACACAACTGTTAACCAGCTTGCAAGTTGCAAAGAGAAGAATGCGTACAAAAAGATTCGAGATAAGTTAAAGTTAAGCAGATAGGCTGAAAAAAATTAACATAAAGTAATACCTTATAGGAGGGGGAAAAGTACAAGTCTAGTCCAGTCCAGATGAAAGGGCGTTCACAAACGTTACCATGTATGTGGGACAATTGAGCTCCCACAGAGGCTGAAGCAGGGCCCTGCAGTCAAAAGTAAATGAGGGCTAAGCAAGTTTAATAATAGATCACTTACTATTGAAAAGAGCCGCCATGAAAAATCTCAAACTATAATTTGCTAACTAATTAAGCACAGACAACAAACTCGTCAATTGTCCACAGAACCTTTGGTCCATTCCCAGTAAGGTTGTTTGGACCGAAATGCATTTGAAAGTTTCCGGCCTCGATGTTCTGAGTTTGGACATTAGCTCCATGAGGTGGCGCGATGCACAAGTTCAGGTCAAGATCGTGATGTTCGGCATCTTAACATATCAGACATAAGAAAAAACCACGTTAAGAAACAGCATTTCCATGCCATGCATCATATTAAAAACTTCAGGGAGGAAACATTGTGGAATTCGATTTGAGTTTATTGTTTTACTTCCAATGTCTGGCACAGAATTCAACTCCTCTTCGTACGTGCTCGGCTCAAAATTGGTGACTGCATCTCTTCCATTGCACTTGATAGCAGCCTTGTCATATGCCCTATTGGCAGAAAATTCCACGTGATCAGACATATTATTGCAAAGGTTAACCGTTTGAAATGAATAAAGATTTAGGGTGTGTTTCTGCAGTTTTAACCTTGCAGCTTCTATCTCACTGTCGAACAACCCAAGATAGATATACCTGCACAAGAAGATCACAAAAATATGAGAAAATAATCTTGCCAACTGGTCTGAATTTTAAGCAGCTGCAACATTATAATTATCACAATCCTTCCAAGAAAAAAAAAAAATGGAAAACCAGTTAGTTCCAGCTATATTACTTCTTGCCAAGAAACTGCCCCATCCGAGCTTCCCATCTTCCACATTTGTGCAATGTTACTCCCCTATACTTTGAGCTTCCTCTAGAGAACCCTGTGCTCTGGCGCCGAAGTATGTGAACGAATTCTTCCTTGGTTAAATTCTTCATCTAAGAAGCAAAACGTGCAAAAGCCTCAGCAACAAAAAAACACTTCAGGAAAAGCAAAACATCGAATGAAACATATCACACTCAACGATGCCTCAACGAACCTGCTTGAGATCATCTTCATAATCACTGGCATTGAAATTGATGTCGGCATCAAGACCACGAAATTTGATTGCAGCACGGTCATATGCCCTAGAATTTGGAAGCAGATACAGCTCACAGAAGTTTAGCAACCACAACTCTTTCATCTGAATATTGAATTTACAGAAATTAACTTGAACTTTCTAACCTAGCCGCAGCATGTGCAGTGTCAAATCCCCCTACACAAACACAATTCAACGTTCCAAATTTTGTGGAATTTCCAGTATATCAGTACATAAAGCAAAATAGTCAAGTAAGCAAAAGGTACATGTACTATTTAGGACACTTACCCAAATAAACTTGTTTACCACAGTCCCTGCACAGTATCACATGAAACAAAAAAGGCTAAAATTAATCAAACAATAATACAACGAAAAACACTGTAAGTCCCCACCACGACAAGATGCAGCAATCACCATCATGTAGTATTTACAGATCATAGCCAACCATGGCCATCACGAGCAAAATTTGAATTGACCAATCAATGAAATGTTTTCATATGTCCTTCAGTTCTAAGTTTCTAATTATCAGATCCATTAGAAACTTCAAGTACCAAAAAACTTGAAGCATACATCCAGATACAGAGCTACAGTAGTTACTAAAATGGTGGGAGAACATAGCTGATTAGTTTAAGCAGTAGTCAAATTTATATTGGAATTAACATCTTCCACATAGAGTATAACAAATTCGAAATATGAAAAATAAAAATCAGAAATATAAAATTTATCGAAATTATCTACTGACGTCTTAGTGAAGCGAAGTACAGAGAAGTGTATCTGTGTAACACAGAGTTCAAAATTGCTTACGCCGTAACAACCTACCAAATGTGAGATTCCCAACGTCCGGTGCGGCGGTAGAACGTGACGCCACGATACTGAGAGCTGCGGGACCTCGGCCCCCTCCGACTCTTCTTCACGAGCTGCCTCCTCTGCAGCTGCTGCGCAGTGATCACCTCCTCTGGCAGCTCGCTGCGGCTCTCCACGAGATCCACCCACCGGATCGGCCGCGTTTCGCCGCCGGCCGGAAAAAACTCCTTCGTCACACAACCGCCGCTCGATCTCTCGCCCTCCTCAGCTACGCCCTTCCATATATTGAAACCGACAGTGTGGTTCGAGCACGAGTTCTCGTCCCCAGCGGTGCTCGAGGTGTCCACATTGACGACGGAGGAATTGGAGCTGCCGGAATACTCCATCTGGTCGCCAGACGGCGCTAGGTGGTTGTCTGACGCCATTTCCGCTCGATCGGCGGTCGGCGGAGGAGGATCGGCGGTCAAATCGAAGGCGAACATTGCTAGAATCTTCAATCCACCGAAGTTGGATGTACAGGCGGCGAAAATGCATGCGCAGAGCGAATGAGAGTGGGACAATGGTGAGAGAGAAAATGGAATTGATTACTTTTTGTTGGTCCAACCTTGTTTGTAGAATCTCAGAGATATAGGAACTGTGTGTGCGAAGATATTTGTATACGAAAATGGGCAACTGTGAGACTTTGATAGTGAATTTTCTCACTCTACAGTGTGTGTATGTATATATATGGAGATACAAATGAGGAATATGAATAAATGAAGGTCCGCCGTATATATAATAAATTAAAGTATTTGATTCAAACACAACTAGTAGGCAGCGGACATAACTATTAGATTAGTCATTTCCATCTTATCCGTTAAGTAGCTTCTGCCATTCACGTGAGATATTAAATGAGTGTGCTTGTCGGCTAAAAAATAATAGAGTTTGATCATCTATCTTTTTACATCTTTTCATCAACGTCATTCTTTTTGTTGGAATATTAAACTTGAGTCTGGTAGCGCTAGCCTGTAAATTAATTAATATATTATCTCGCTCACATGTTTATAATAATATAAATTTGATTTCATTATATATATTTATTCCTTGATAAAAGAAAAATAACAATTTTACGTAATCTTGTTCCTCGTATAATACTCATATTATTTTATTATAAAATTTATTGTAATATAATGTTGTTATTATTATTTATACAAGTTATAGAAGTAGTCTTCTTCTTCTTTCTGTTTTATGTAATTAAAATATTTAATGTATGTTCATATTATTTATTAATGTAATTAATTTAAATTATGTAAATAAATTTAAAGTAAAACATTTTGCACAAAAATTTTACAAAATATGCACAAATGTTTTTTTAGAATTTAATTTTTTTACAATAAATAAACATCTTTGAAATTCTATGCAATTATTAAACATCCTTGATATAAATTAGAAATCATAATGGAATTCTATGCAATTATTAATTCCGTCCGATGTTATGGGAAACAAATCATTCGGAAATGTAACAAAATGACAAGGAATTTTAAAATTTAAATGAGACATGTTTTTACTTGAATTCTATGCAATTATTATTTTGTCCGATTTTATGACAAACAATTCATTTAGGATTTTAATGTAACAAAATGATAAGAAATTTTAATATCTAAATTTAAATTTGAAATGAGACATGTTTTTACTTGAAGTCTATATGTCCGATTTTATTGCAAAACACATCAATTAAGGATGAATTAATGCAAACCGGTTTTTTAGCAATAAAATAATAATACAATTGAAATACTTGATGGAAATAAAATGTATTAATTATCTTTGACTTTTCTGCGTACTATTTCTAGTAAATAGGATGGCTTTTTATATAAGTATAGAGATGCAAACAGAATTTTATAAGTAATTTGTGTGTATATAAATTTTAAAATCAAGTATTATTAATAAAATAATGATATCTATATATATATATATATATATATATATATAAGTTTGATTATTTTTTAAATAGTAACTATTTTCCTCCAAAAAAATTATTCACTATTTCGGGAATCAATTTAACAATTTATGGCATATTTCAAATGATCACATATGGTAATTGTGGCTCATTATTTAAGGAAGTAATTAAGCCATATTTTAATAAGACTCAAATCATGTGAATTAATTAATATATGATATATAGTGGACGAATTTAATTTTGGTATTAATGGTTGTTTCTATAGGAAATAAATTAATTAATATATGGTATAAAGTGAGCAAATTTATTTAGGTTATTTGATAACTGTGTTATTATTATTATTATTATTATTTTTGTAGGAAATTTGTTGAAAAAATTTAATCAATATATGGTGTACTTTTTTCTGTAATGCGCAGGCTAATATATTGGTTTTTAGGCGTGGGTTTCAATTTTTATTTCAATTTTCCGCATAAAATTAACACAATAAAATTATCGTAACTCTGACAAAATAATATGAACTGATATTTTGATATAATGTGTGTGTACCGATATTATTTTTGTAGAAAAAGCTCTGGTCAATTTTTTTATATATATAGTTAGTGAGTCTCGATTTAATTCATTTTTTGTTACGACATTTCAAATAATTTTTGTGCGAAATGCACTGTTCATTTTTTTAGCATGATAAAGAGTGTCGATTTTTTTTGCATAAAAAGTCTTATGATTGATGGCTTTTATTCAACTACTTAAATTTTTTATTTGGATATTTTATACAAAAATAAATTTATTTAATCAATTAAACAATATAATTTTTATATTTATACTTATTATTCACATAGTTTTTAAATATGTGATAAAATTTTACCAAAATAATTATTTTATGGAATCACGTTGTAGTCAAATCGAACTTCTAAATAAAAATTTTGAAATGACACATATTTTGAAATGATATAATGTAATTTATTATCAATTATGTACAACGCACGGGATGTGTACTAATTTTAAATAGACATTTTTATGTAATTTTGTACAAATTAAATTTTATATAAAATTTTTAATAAATTATATACGTACATTGTATTACATATTGATTCCATGTTTCTAATTTATAAATATTATTTAATGAGAATTTTTAATTTATGAATATTAATTAATATCTCTTACACGTGCACCGCACGGGATTCGTACTAGTATATATATATATATTTAAACTATTTTAACTTATATAAATCATTATATTAACTGTATTAATGTAATTTTATAATTTTAAGTGATTATGACAAACTAATTAGATGAAATATATTAAAATTGTTACTGCAAACAATTGAAAATAAATTTTAAGGGTGTATTTGTTTATTAAAAAACTCAATTCATACTCAACATCAAAGTCAACTTTAACTCCACCACTAACTTCAATATCATCAATATAATTAAATAATACTAACAATCATCCTTACACATCAAATTAATTTTAATTTACTATTCATTCACTCACATAATTTTAACTAATCTTCACTTGGCATCATCTATCTCATATTTTTACATCAAATCAACTAAAATTATTTTATTTTAAATATTATTTTTATATAAATTAAAAAATCCCTCTAACAACTAACTACATATTTTTTTAATTATTAACTATGATTAACAAAAGAACTCATTTTTTCAAGCGAATATATTTGTACCCAAACTGACAAAAAAAAATAATGAATTGATTCTAATAAAAAAATTGTGTAATGAGCTAAAAAAAGATAATAATTATTTTAAATAAATAGTTGGAGAAAAACAATTCTAGTATAACTTTTTATATGTATAATTGTATATATATAATTTTCATATAGCATTCAGTGTGACTTTATAATTACTTCGTAGTAGTCATTATGTAATAAAATAAATAAATAAATATAATTATTTGATTAGTGTAAAATATAATAGTTTCTTTTCAAAATTAGTTGAAAACTGAGCGGGAAAAAAACTATATTGCATTAAATTTTTTGCCTACAACTATATATACTAGTATTCAACCGGTGCATTTGCACGAAAAGTTATTATTATAACAATAAATAATATAAATATATTAACAAAAGAAAAAATCACAAATTCATCCATGCAGTATTAAGAATTAGAAATAATTATAAATATTATTAAAACTTCTTTACATATGACATTTGTAGTTTTTCCTATCGTCAGAATTCCCATCGCCACAAATCATTATCATCAAACCCTTCCTATTCGTGATTCTGGAAAAAACAATGTACAACTGACCGTGATTGAAGACGGGGTCTTGACTCTTGAGTACTAAGTCGACATGCGATAGAGACTGACCTTTACTCTTATTATAGTCATATCATAAGAAACCATGACAGGAAACTGACACCGCTGAAACTTGAACGGTACTTTCAAATCGGACAATTGGACTCAAATTCAAACAGTTTATTGAAATTAAAATGAATAAGATAAAAAAAAATAAAATATTTTAATACCTTCACATAATGAAAAACAAACTTCAGCCCGTTGATTTTATATTTGTTTATCATAGAAGTTCTTGCATAATTCCTCACCAAACGAACCTTGGCTGTCTTGTTCTTGTTTATCGCCAAGTATGTTAAATTGTCAAATTGAAATGCCATTTCTTAATGTGAAAAAAAAAATTGCGGAGATAATTTTTTTTAGGTTTGTCGTTTTTCTACTTGAATTGCAATGTAAGTTTGCATGAAAATTTTTGGTCTATTTATAAGGTATTTGAAAAAAAAAAATCCACTAATTCGGAAGTATAAATGTCCAATAATAAAGATTGATTGATTAATTGTAGGAATTTGATACTCATACTTTTTTTTTGTATGTTTGCCCGCAACATTTTTTAAAGCTGGAAAAAATTGAAATTGATACCTCAATTTTTTTTTAATTGAACACAAATCAGGCGACATGTTTTAATACTGAATATTCACCTTCATAAATGTACAAAAATATCATGCGATCTTGATATTGGTAACTTATAAATTATAATAGGTCAGATACATTTTTATTGAAATAATCAAAGAGACTTAATTTTTGCGCCTTCCTCGGTGGCGGTGGGGCCTGGCCAGCGGTCTCCCTTGACTGCTCGCCCCGTCCTGAATGTCGTGTGCCCCAAATTGTTGTGGTTCTACTACGTCGCAGCCTTCAATCGACGGCAAATTGGAGCTTCGAGGTGCCATGCCCTTGGTCAGAATCTGGTCGGCGATGGGTGGTTTCCTCTCAACCACCGGCCAACCCTCGTTAGGTGGTGGTAAATCCCTGCTTTTGTCGGCGATTGGACCCCGTTGGTCGTTTCTGTTTTCTCCGGTAGGGCTTCCAGTGGGTGTTGGGTTGTTGGTCGCCGGAGTGCTGCGGCGGTGCTCGGGGTGTGTATGGCTGAGGATGAGGCGAGGCCCTTCCTATTGCGACGTCTCCTGTTGCGGCGGACGGGTTGAAGAATCGTACCATCTACCCCCCCGCTCGGCTAGTAGTGTTAGGCGGCGGGGGCCCGGGATCATGATTCTCTTGAGCTCGGCTAATGGTGTTAGGCGG